GTTAATATATATGATAGAAAGAGGTATACGTAAGAAAAAAATTGAAAGTTATCAGTATTTGAAAAGTTAACAATTAGTTTTAAAGAGATAAATGTATTTCTGTGTTTGCATTTTTTGGTAAAACATAAACAACATATTATAAAACAGGTTATTTCTTCAAGATCAACAATTTTCGATGAAACAAGCCTTCACAAATTCGACGCTCTTCTTCAAGGTTTCAGACTTTTAAGATGATGCAGTGAGTCTCTTACTATTACTCTTTTCTTCTACAGATCTTAGTTCCATTTTGATTTCATTTCAAGTTTTCTTTTGCATGTTCAAGGTGTAATAGTTTGATCTTTACTTGAACTGATTTTTCTTTCCTTTTCTATCTTTATTGGAACTGCTAGGAAGTGGCGATATCTTCTCTAAAATATCTTGAGATGCAGTTGTTTGGGAAAATCCTAAATAAGAGAGGTAAATTTGTACTGCTATCATTTCCAAGACTGCTCCAACTTCCTCCATCTGCTCGTCTGCTATTAGTTTTAAAGGACAGGTAAACTTCAAGAATTATTGGTAGTGTAGCACCATTGTGCCCGATACAACCCAAAACATCATGGAGACAAAACTATCAGCTACAACCTTCGTATTAAGCAAGCTTCTCAGGAGATTTACGGCCTGCAACTTTAGGAGACAATAAATGTTATTTTCAACAATAGAAAAAAACAACTTTCACCAACTAGTCAGTGGCGGTTTTCGCACAGGCGTTAGAGACGCTCGCCCCCCTTGCCTCGAGGGCCAGGAAGCTCAAACTATTTGGCCGTATATTGCAGTGCTAAGCCGATGTCAATTTTGACATTGGAGTGAAGCCCTCAAAAGGCAATTTTGCGCCTGTGGTCTCATGTTGTCAAAATCCTCCTGCAATTAGTCTTTGCTTTTTTCAAGTAAACTATGACAACCTGATTGTCTTCTTTCCATTCAAAAACTGTTGAAAAAACTAAATTTCTACCTCGTGTCAACAACATTACTTGTTTGACTAATATGGCGGCATGTGAACTTTCACCCAACATTCTGGTGCCTTGACAGGTCCCGCCTCCACAGCAAATAGCAAATAAGAAATAACGCATGTCAATACTGTGCCGTCGATGCCAGCCGAGCTACTACTTGCCATTGTTCGTATACTTTAAACGTATTATTGACTAACTGTGACAATACTGGTTTAATGTAAACGTTGCTTTGAGGACATTTGCTTTGAGTTAGCAATAGATTTAGGACTAAGTTTCTACTTTTTTAGTGTTACGCTTGCGCAATAGAAACCAATCAGATTTTCACGTTCAGCCATGCACAACAACACATAATCCCGGCTGTGTCTTCAGAAACAACCTACTGGCTAACCAACTGTGAAATCAATCCCAAAAAATGTTAAGATCGTCCCGAATCCCTACACTTCCACCAATTTCTTCCACTTCATGGCACTGGTTTGTCTTCTGGGTCTAAATAAGCATCAATCTCACTTGAAATTCAGAGCTTGTGTTTTTACAATTTTGCTTTACATTATTTAACACATTCCCTTACGTAACAGAATACAATAACTTATTTTCTGATTAGGTGAGAACCAGTTTTCTTGAGCTATTTCCCCAACGAGGATTATTTTCAAAGATTGCTAGTATCAATTCTAATAAGGATACATATGTTGTACATATACAGATTCTACAAGTAACTCGTAATCTTCAGTTATTCAGATTGGATGATGAAAAGGATTTTCATCTCATGTAGTTTATTTAAATTCTGTTTATATTAATTTTTATATTTTGAAATCTTATGTATATTTTTTTTAATATTGCCATTTCTTCATCTTTGTTATTTTGTTTGTGAAATTTGTGTTTTGGTACCTTGAACCTGTTGTACTATTTCTGTGTTTTCCTGAAACCTTTGTATGTTGTGCTTTTTTTTTCACCGTTAAAATTACCGTAAAATCAAATGTATTGAATTCAAAATTTTTATAAAATGTATTAATGTGTATTTGTTTTTTGTTGTCACATGTTTTTTTGTATCAAGCTCTATAACCCTATTTAAACGTTGTAAAAATTTATACTCATCCTGTTAATCTTGTAAAGGATTTTATAAACTGTTTCAACCATTGCAATATTTGATGTAAATTTTGACTCCTTTTGCACCATTTCTATGTGCTTGCTGGCCTCAAATCATAATGGAGAATTCTTTCCCAGGAAGCCCAATTAATGGTCTAAAGCAAAAGTTGAACTGGCTTTGCTAGACATTGAACGTAAGAAAATGTTGTGGAAGAGGAGAAAAATAATATTGAAAAAAATGCTTATTTATAAGTAATATTCAAATCTAAAACTAACTTGGAGTAATTGCAGAAAGAACCTTTTATTGGTTGGCAAGGTTTGTATATGACAGTATTAATCTTGCAATTTATCAGGCAGATATCAAGACCCTAGATTCTATCAGAAATTCTGCAATATTAGTAAGTTTGACCATTCTCATGCTTGTATTTAGCATGGTACCGCAAAATTTGTATTTCTCTCCTTGGGAAATAACGCCATTTTGGCAGATATAATGCAGCAGAAACTTTTCGGACAATTAAAAATCTTTTAAATCGCTTATGCTCCCCATTTAGGACAATTCAGGACCATTGCCATCTTTTTCAGGAGACAGAGACGCTCATTTTAGCAACATGAGTATTGCCTTGAAGTACTGTTCAGATTCAACATAGTTGCATCCTTCATCATGAAAGATTTTAATTGTAAGACTTTCTAACAGGAGAGGAATTTCAAAGGAGGTGGGAGTTCTAATTTTATTCAAATCTATAAAATATAAGTTTTCCCATTATATTTGGAGGATGAGTTTTGGATTGCATCATCATTCCTGCTGTTTCGGTGCATCTTTAGCCCTCAATATTAAAATAATAAATTTTTTATGTAAATTTCACTTGCATATCTGAAATTAGAATGATTTTCTATTAAACACAGTTGCTTTCGCGCGTTCCAAAAAAAAAAAAAAAAAACACATAAGTTCTCCATTATCACCAAGTTTCTTCATAGATGAGTTGAGTTAAATTCAAAGTAGTGTAAGTTTTTTAGATGGCCTTAGAGCAGAAATCATTCAGGCACGATTTTTGGAAAGCCTTTCTTTTGTCCTATAAGCACAAATTCTCCCTAAAAATATAAAACCATGATTACTTTCTGAAATACTAAAAAAACACCATCTGTAACTATGCTTTTGACAAATGTCCAAAGCAAAATCTCAGAAATATTGAAAACTGGTACATCTTTTTTGCTTCCATATTGCAGTGAATTCCAACAAAATTGCAGTCTCATTTTGTACGACATGAATAAAATCAAGCAATGTGAACTGTATGAATTATACAAGAGGGTGGATTTTTTTAGCTTAAAAAATTCTTTTCAGAAACATGGTTTGCAGATTAATTTTTTTTCGATAAATGTAGTATCAATAATCATATACACAAATTAATGCAATCATTATCAGTTTGATTTCGATTTAGGTAAAATTCAGTAATGGGATCTGAATTTTATAAAATGTTTAAAAGCCAGACTTGAAGGCTGAAATTTCGAAATAATTTTCAACCATTTGAAATTCTGTGGTTATTTACACCAATTAAATACGACTTACAGCAAGCACTTATGAAAACATATGTTTCCTTTAAGACCAGAGATGTTAACGTATTTTAAAAAAAGATAGTAGCACAGAAGAGATGCCAAGAATAGAAAGAATCATTATTTTGCCAAAATGATTGTTACTTTTGTTATATTGTATATCTTTTCAAATCAAACTTTCTTGTCCATAAAATTTCAATTCTGTGTGTACTAAACAGACAGAATCAGACCTTATAACGGTTTATTTTAAATTTAAAACAGGCTAGACAACTAAACAAGAAAGAGCAGGATTTTTTTTTCGGGGGGGGAGAGACAATATCAAACCAGCGGAAGTGTTCTCCTTATGCCTCCATACACCCATAACGTATAGCGGGAGGAAAGGGGAAGGCGGAACCAGCAAAGACTGTAAGTGGGGTATCCCCTCCCCCGACTTCCATCAACATAGTAACACAGTAGCAGAAGCGTTTCGTGCCTAACCAGAAAAACCAGAAACTTCATTTGGATGTCTTTCTTTGGCCTAATGAATTGGTAGTGACTGGCGATTCGTTGGCACAAGTGGGGAGAACAAAAGTTATAGACATCTAAAAGTACCCCGTTACTATAAGGGGTAGACAACAAGGAAATTTGAAAATGTAATAGTTACAGAGTGGATTAGCTTTTTTCCGGTCAGTGTTCATTTTTTATAATTCCTAATTTTAAGATAAAATAAAACGACATACAAATTTAATTTCTCCTCAAAAGTGGGGGGCATCGCCTCCCTACAAGCGGAGTCCGCAATGCCCGATTAGGTCAAAATTTGATTCAGAAATACATTTCCATTTTCAAAACCACATATAAATTCATTTATCTAGCTTGTTGCATTTTTTAATCAACGCGTCCACATACATAAATACAGACTGACAAATTGTCACCCCATAATTTTGTCCAAATTTGATACAAATCTACACACTTCTGGTGATAAAACTGTGTATCAAAATCCCTCCATTTAGCTTTATGCGTTTTTTGTTATATTGTTCATGTGGACAGACCAGACTCCTTTTAGCCAGTTGGTAGTAAGACAACATACTAAATTTTTTTTTTATCCCTCTAGGTCATGCATATTCACTGACAGAACGCCACCCCTTACCTATGTGCTTCAAACATGCAGTTGCTGAACCAGTAGGATGGGATATTGCTCACTGGCGGACAGACAGAATTAAAATGTGTTTTCTAACTCTAAAGTTTAAAACGCGTGGAATTCATCAAAATCTCAAGGTTTGGATTTTTTGACAAATTTCAATACTTTCTCTTTGTGTAGGAGAAAGTAAAAAAAAAGGAAGTATTAAAGTCATACTTTGTCTAAAATTTTTGGCGAAAATGCTTCCGCAGAAAAATACAACACATCGTAGTCGGTAGGATTCGAAGACCTACGCGGGAAGATCAATGGATTTCTAGTCCTCGCCTTAACCACTCGGCCACACACGACCACCACGGGTACCTTAAACAAACATTTTCCGACACGCAGTTAGAGTGAGAATTTGAATATAGCAACTACATTCTATCAACAGTCGTATAACCTAAGAGAGTTATAAAGTAAGTAAGAGAGAGATCAGACCTACAAATGGGTTATTATATATTGTATCTTATAGACTCATAGTAGAGGAGTGGTGTAAACTGACCAATAGCACATTTTATTCATGGAACATAATCAAGACTGCAAGAGGCGAATCAACTGTCAAAGATGATACATTCTTGAACGAAAATTTATGAAAATATTTTACCAATTTCATTCATATATTCCCAATCAACAAATTCTCGTTAGTACTTTTTTAAAAGAGAGTACTACTGTAATATGTCTTAATTGTTTCATTATCAATGTTAGAGATTTTTTCAAAATAAAGTTATATAACTATTTTGATGTATATTTCCAGGAGGCAAAAGAGGCAATATGTTAAAAATCTTGTATTTAAAATATATGTTAGAAATGCTCTATTGAATGCCTATTTAAAAAAAGCAGAGCAATTCTAAAATCTTATCTAAATTCAGTGTTCCATTTTCCTTAACTTCAGTCTGTCCCCTAACTTTAGTCAGCTGTAGTCTTAACCGGATTTTGGTTTCAGTTAACTCTGCCAGAGTCATTTCCTCCCAGCTCAGCTTGATTGTAGTATAATCAACTGTTGACATATTAAAACAGTTCGGTAAAACCGATTACAGTTCTCAGTTGGCTTCATCATTTTGCATATTTCCCAACCACCAAAAAGCTATATTAAAGAAAACAATCCTCTTACCATTCTTATTTTTAAAAATACCGGCGGAAGGTAATGCATGTATACTTTTTTGGAACTCCTGCCTTTCTCTAAACCCGTTTTTTTATTCAAAAATCTACGACCAGAGCAGAGCAACTCATCTCCAGTTGAAATATTCCTCCTTGAAAAGCATGATGAATCGTCGAAAGCCGCTTTGTCACTCAAAAAGAGAACAATTCGGACAGGTGTTCTCTTCCGACGCAATTAACTCAATCCCTCCTTTGCGCAAACGATATCTAAAAATAATGGATTCTGCAGCATCCGCTTCTTAAACCTGTTACCATGTGCTGAGCTCCGTCTATGCAAGCACATGCGAGGGCTCATGATCTAAACAGATATTTTCATATCCATCTCCGTTTGTTTTCGTGACATTTTTCTTAAGTGTCATTGGCAGCAGAGTTTAAAATGGCCTCGATGAAATAATTCCGTTGAGAAAGAACTGGTACTTCCGCAGAAGCACTTGTCGCCTGTCATTTCTTCCTCGCTAGGAGAATTCCGGCAAACCTTAAATTAAGAACATCTCTTTTCTCGACGGATGTAATTGAGGAGACGAATGTTTGGAAATATGAACTTTTGCAAGCTGAAAGAAACGGTTGCCGTGATCAAGATTCGGATGCTGGTGAAATTTTCACTTGATGCCGTAACGAGGGCATTCGTTGAGATCTTGATGTCACCTTAATTGACTGCTAAAGAGATCGTTTATATTAAGCCAATATTATCACGCATGAGCAGAAGGAAGTGGAAAGATGGGACAACGGCATGTAAGTTCGTCGGAAAAAGTACTTATACATTCTCCGGGTTCCATTTTCTCTTTCACATTTCTCTTCTACTATTTGGTGACAATACTGACTCAACGTAAACGCTGCAAAGTCAACGGTACATTTCACTTCAGTCGGAGTTACCTACTATGATTAACATTGATGAAATAGCATCCACTCTAGATCCAGCTCTGAAAAGACAACAACATTCAGGAGGGGAATGTTTTCATCAAAACATAAGGAAAATATTATTTGCTTAGTAAGAAAAATTAACATCAAGCCTTAACAAAAGTCAAATTTAGCGCTTCAACTGGGGTTGGCGACTTTTTTTCTTTTGATAACAGCATCAATTAATAACTATCGGCTTTGGCAACGACAGAAAGAATAACCGTACATGCGAACGATATTACTGTTTCTCGATTCCGTGTCTGATGATATTTATGGTTGTTACTCAGCAGAAGGTGTACTGTTGCAGGAAAGCAGACGGTCAACGACTTTACAAAATAAAATTAACTGAAGGAATTTCCAGTTGAGAGGCAAAAAAGCCATTCAAACAAGATCAGATATACAGACATTTAGAAAACTTTAAAAACAAATATCATAATGTCAAATGTTGTTGGTGGACAGTTACTCATTAACCGGACACCAAGTAAGTTTTCTGGTAAATACGGCATATATTTACGAAAATCATTTATACTCGTCTTTTTTGTTATTAAGTGTCGAAAGAAATACAACGTACAGAGATCACTTGCGAATTTTGATGGAATTTGCAGGCCAAGGAAATGAAACTCAAATGGCAAAAAGGTGGGTACAGATTTCTTTTTGAAATAAAGACAAAATAATTAATTTTATACTTTATAAATTAATTTTAATAAAAATAAGAATATATCATAATTTATTATATTAAAGTTGCTATAAATTTTTTTAAATAATACGACTTTCAAAATTTTGCTGAATGCAACGTAACCAGATGATCAATCGGTCCGCTAACCAAATAAAGCACCAAAATTCACTGAATATTCAATGAGATTCATAACATACATGTCTCTGCACTTCTGGAACAGCCTCAAAAATTTTGTAGTCATATATAATCGACCTTTAACGTAAATTTTCTTTTCGTATTAACAGCACATAAAACTCATCACCAAATCATCTTCGGCATATTTCTTTGGTATCATACGCTTTAAAGCGCTCTTCTTTCGAAACCTTGATGTAGGTATGATTATTTGACATTATCATCTGAATTTGATGAAATAAAATCAATTTCAAGAGGAATCATAACGCTGAAAAAGTTTCGTATATCTCAGCCGAAACTTTTTCGGTAATTAGTAACAATACGTAATGCTTAT